GACTAACTGAAGAAGCACGAGAATCAATTTCGGTCGCGCTTACAGTATTGGTGGTCAAAGCCGAGGAATAAGATACACCAGAAGTTCCAACATCGGAGGAGAATGCAGTTTTGGTATGAGATTTTGTATGTCGAGGACCGAGTATTCTTGGTCTGGTTGGTTCTGTTGGAAAGAGGGATAGTGAAAGAGATAGGAATGGATAGGAATAGATGAAAGCTACGGTGCTTTATTATTGTCTACGGACTCAATACATCGAGGCTTACACAATTCCAGTATTTATAGCTTATACACTGGACCAAAAATAGTAAATCATCGAAATCTAGAAAGAATTTAAATCTACTAACAATCTCCTAAAAATCTCATAGTTTGAATATTTAAATCATATCTCTACTACTCTGAATCATATCTTCATTTTGAATCATATCTCAACAGGTTCCTCTAAAGTACCAGGTCTCTTTGAGAGGAGCAAAACCACACGTGGCATGGTCGGCCGTAGTTTTGGATCACCTTGTGTGCAAAGTAATCCAATCTGAATGCACATCGCCACTTGGTCAGGAACAGCTGAGGATGCTAATGTTGGGTCCATTATCTCCAAACTCCTGCCCTTCTTATATAGCTTGTAAGCCTGCACCAAAATTCACGTCACCCTTATAAGGAATGCTTCACTCCTCTCTCCAACCGATATGGGATCTCACAATAATAACTGTGAGGCTAATGATGATACGTAACAGACACAAACGAATAATATCTACTAGCGATGAGCTTGGACTGTTATAATAATGGACTGAACTAAGCTCAAAATATAAACTACACACCTCACTCACTCGTGTTCTGAATACTCTAAATGAGTAACTGTGGCAGTTTATATTACCCAATCAGTAGATTCTACGCCTAGAATTTGAGTACTTGTGTTGATCTTTATTATAATCAACCAACGCCATGAAAACCTTACCCAATCAATTAGGTTTTCAGCTTGGAAATATGTGCCAAATGACGAGTTACGCTGGCCACTGATGAGTTCGAGGACCAAGACACCAAAGCTAAAAACATCTACCTTTGCTGATAGACGACCTTGCATTAGATATTCAGGAGCCATATATCCACTATTCATATAGAGAAAGAAAAAATAAAAAATTAGTAGAGCCCACCAATTGGGATTAAAAAATTTGATTGGTTGTCAAAAGAAACTTACTTTGTACCAGCCACACGAGTATTGACATAAGTTTGATCATCAGGGAAGAGACGGGCCATTCCAAAATCAGCAATCTTAGGGACCCAGTTATCGTCCAACAAAATATTACTAGCTTTGATATCACGATGGATAATGAGATTATGTGAATCTACATGAAGATATTGCAAGCCTCGTGCTATGCCAGCGATTATGTCATACCTCCTCTTCCAATCAAGCTCTCCACGTCTGCTGGATTCTGAGAACATAGAGTGAGTAAGTGAAATGAAAATGGGTTGACAGTTGTTGGAGAAGTTGTGAGCAGTACTTACTGAAGAGAAGCTTGTCAAGGCTCTCATTGGAGACGTACTCGTAAACCAGTAGCTTCTCAGAACCATGAACACAGTATCCCAACAAAGCAACCACATTTCTGTGCTGCACACCACCCAACAACTTGGCCTCACTCATAAACTCTCTTCTTCCCTGTTTTGAATGATGTGATAACTTTTTAACTGCAATAACTCTTCCATCCTTTAACTTTCCCTGCAACAAACAATTGGTAACAAAAACTTAAAAAGACTTTTCCCATAATGCCACAACTAAAATGTTGTGATACTTGTAAATTTCTTACGTTCTGTTAGGAATCACGACTCTCCACAAGAGTATGATATTGTTCATGAGTCTCCACAATAGTATAATATTGTTCATGAGCATAAGCTCTCGTGACTTTTCTTTGGACATCACCAAAAGGCTTCATACCAATGGAGATATATTCCTTACTTATAAATTCGGGAACATACTATAAATTAACCAACGTGGGACTCCCTCCCAACCATCCTCGACACACTCTCACGCTACAAAGTCTCTCTTACAAAATTCTTCCTAATTGTCTGCCGGCAAATACAAAATGGTCGAAAATTTTATGGGAATTTGTTAAAAAATTGGGAGAGAAATTAGAAACAGCGGTGGCAAAGAAAAGATTGGAGAGAGGGAGTAGATTTGGAAGAAACCTTGTAAACCGGGCCAAAGCCGCCTTCGCCGAGCTTGTGATTTGGATGAAAATTGTTGGTAGCTTGAGCTAAGGTTTGGAAGGGAATAAGCTTCTGTTCCTTAGCTGCAATCTGCTCCAAATACTCTGCGCCCTGGGTGTCTAATCCAACGCTATCAAAACATACATAGATACATACAGAAAAGAAGGGAATTTGTTGGAGCTACCTCTAGAGGAACCCGATCGGAATGTTGTTTTGAGTTTCTGCAACAAACTCTTGAACTTCGTGGCCATGCTCGTCTACGCCATCAAATAGGGATGGCGTTGCTGCTGTTGTTGCAGAATGGGATGATTGGAGAAGGGGGGAACAAACAAAAATTGAATTTTGATCTTCCAATGGACTCACTGCTTGACCACTGAAAAACTGGACGGGCAGGGCTGCTCATCTGGTGGGAACATTAAATGACAGAACTTTTAAGTCAAGAAACAGTCAAACACTCATAAACCCTTTTGTGTTGTCGGACAAACTCTTCTAAGTTATTAATTTGTATTGATTTTTCTTCGCCTCGCCAAAGTTTTCCACATTCGTTCTCAAACATTATTAAATGCCGTCAACGTTTTAGTTGAAATTATATATTTTACATACGCATCTAAAACAATATTATAAAGTATATGTGTCTAGTCAGAATTCATATTAATTGTGCATGTATGTACGTAGAGGAGTTGTTACTTTGGAGGGAATATTAGTGGTAATATGCATGTAATATCATTTGTCATTGTCTTTTAATTTTTTGTTTCAAAGTGATTTGATTCATCAATAGGTCTAGCTCTTCAGAAGATTAAGGATGTGAAAGTCTTTCTCGTTCGAAATGAGATGGATAAGCTTACAGTTTTCTTCGGTAGAGTAAGGATGTGAAGGTCTTTCTTGTTTAGATAGACTTATAGTTTTGTCAACGCAAGATACGTGAGAAGTTCCAAGCAATTTATTTCCTCAATTTTGGTCTTCTACTTCATTCTTATCTGCTGATGGAGCTAGTTGATCAAAAAGTTTGTGATAAGTGGTGGAGACTATTTTTCAAAATTGCATTCAATAATTGTCTCTTGTTCTTTTTTATTAAAAAAGAACATCAAGGCAATCTGAATTTGGAAAAATTCGTTCACATGTGATAAATAATTAAAAGAAAAGGAGAGCTGGAGCTGCCATTAATGATAATATTAGGCTAATCCAATACGGCAAGTAATTCATGGTTACACTTAATTTAGGCTCCGATTGACACCATTCAAATTTGACTAAATGTGTACTAAAAGGGACTGAAACTAAAGGTTATCTCAGCCAATACGGAAGAAAAAATTTACATTCTAAATATAAAGATGAGAACATAGACTCCCTCCACTGGATTCTGCCTGCATGGCATCTTGAGGTCAACCTAAATTCCTGTTGATCAGTGAAATGTAAAAAGAGAATGCAGAACAATGAAAGGATCTAAATATGATGACTTGATGGATTATACAGGTATGCATAAATTTTTTAGTAGAATTCTATGCGCAATGCACTCAAAATCAGCAAGACAATAGAACGACAGAGTTCCAGGTAACTCGAAATTGTCATGAATTTCATTTGCTACGTATTACACCTTTCACTATACACTCACTGGAAGTTTCAACCCAAACAAATGTCGCACGCCCCAGAAACAAACATTCTTTGCAGCTTCAAGAAAATCGACCCTTTACATCTCGCCAAATATGGTGGAAAACCAAACCTGTTGACTAAATTACACGTTGGAAACAGCCCCACGAGCTCTCTACAGAAGGCCTGTGCTTCCAAATGGATTGTTAGCATTTGGAGGAACAGTATGGTGGTTAGGAGCAGAGAATGCTCCAAAACCTGCATCACCAAAAGGATTTGTTGGATCCATCGTAAATGATTGTTGCTGTGAAAAGGTAGGTTGGTATGGACCAAAGGGATTAGCCTGCTGCTGAGGTATTGGCGCCATTTGAACTGATGGAGCTGGAGCGATGGCATTTGAGTAGGCAAATGGATCTTGCACCTCAAATGGATTTGGTGCGGGCTTACCATACACGGGCTGTAGAGAAGCTCTATATGCACCCTCATCGTATAGACTGTCGAGAGTGAGTGTGTCCAGCCCACCAGCCTGGTACATCATAGAATGACAAAAAAAAAAAAATCTATCAATTTGATTGAAGAATATATCACCAGCGTTTACCTACACAATAGTTATATTCCTAATGCCTTAGAACTCTGGATTCCCGAGATCCTAATAATCCCCTTAAACTTCAAAGAATCTAATTCAGAAATGTCCACTAGCTAAATCCGAGACTAGCTCATCTAACAAAAATTCAAGGAAACCCCTAAAAGATTCTTATTAAGGCCCTAACTATGTCAGTTCCATTCCAGAATTGTTCTCAAGTAATAATGGCTAGAAGTTTTACACTGGAGAATGAAATGGTTTGAAATTCACAATCGCATTAAAGCCTACCAGTTGTCTCTCATTAGTTGATGAAAGATTAGTACTTGGAGTGGTGACCAAGGCAAGCTCCCATCCAGTAGGATCGAAATCCTTTGGCTGTGCACCATTGGAATGAAATGTAGGTGCTGCTGCATCTGATATTAGGTTCGCGATCATTAACAAAAGGGGTTAGTAAAATTTCTCATGTAACCCAACTAGAAATAGAGACTGAAAATTTACCACCAGAAGGAACTATGGCTAAAGCCAAAGCATTTCTGTCCTCAATGGCAGATACTTCGGTTGTGTCAAGACTCAATCCCTGAAGAATCCACCAAGCAAAAAGCTTTATTTATTTGTTGTAATTTTAAAAGGTGGAAAGGATGGTGGATAAAAGCATTTATCATCTATTACAAAAAAAAAAAAAAAAAAAAAAAA